TTGTGTTCCTAAAAAATTTTTGGAAGAAAAAATGATTTGACAACAACTGGCGGAGAAATTACTATGAGATAAATAACTATGATAAATAAATAGCAACATATATATTTATGAACGGTAATGTACTCAATGAGTCTCCTACCCTTCATCTTCTAGGATTAACTCTTACTTCTGATCTTTCTTGGAAACCTTATATCAAATCCATTGCAAAATTAGCATCTGCTAAAGTCCCTTCTCTTTATCGAGCTCGTCACTTTCTTACTCTAGATTCTATTCTTTATAAATCTCAAATCCGGCCTTGTATGGAATACTGTTGCCATATCTGGGGTGGATCTTCTAATGATGCCCTTTCTCTTTTAGACAAGGTGCAAAAACGCATTGTAAACATATTTGACCTACTCTTGCAGCCAATCTTCAACCTCTGTCACATCGTCGTAATGTTGCTTCTCTTTCTCTCTTCTACAAATACTATAATGGGCACTGCTCTAAGGAGCTAGCGTCTCTTGTGCCATCTACAAAAATTCATTCTTGTGTTACTCGTCAATCAATTAAGTCTCATCCTTTTTCTGTTACTGTTCCTAAGTGTTCAAAACTCTTATTCGTCTAGTTTTTTTCCTGGAACATCAGTACTTTGGAATTCGCTCCCTTCATCTTGCTTTCCTGATTCATATAATTTACAATCTTTTAAGTCGTCTGTCAATCCTTATCTTGCTCTACAATCTTCATCTTTTCTCTTCCGGTAACTTCCAACACTAATTAGTGGTTGCTTGCAGCCTTGTTGAAAGCGAAGATATTGAAAAAAAACAAAAAACATTTAAATCTTCAAGTTTAAAAAAAAATTGAAATATATAAAATTATCCTTATGCATGTTCTATATATACAAAAATATGAACAAAAAAATAAAAAAAATGATTTATAATCAACAACAACAAAAATATGAATAACATCAAATATAAGAAAATGGTAATAATAAAATTAATAATATAATGAACAGTAAAAAAAGTTTTAAACAATTCTACAAGTAGATTAACAAAGTCCAAAAGTATTAATTGTTAATGATATTAAATGTTTTCAAACACCTCCCTTTGCTTTCCTGATAACCTTCTAAATGAGGCACTCTAATATAAGGAAGGGATTGTTTTTGCTTCTATTGATGATGATAAAAGGGATTGTTTTTGCTTCTATTAATGACTGATGCATAAAGTCATAATAATATATACAATAATAATAAATAATAATAAAACTACGTTATTAAATAACTATCAATTGTTTATTCAATTGCAAAATCTTTAAAAACATGCGCTCTATATATACTGCAGTTGTAAAATGTTAGAAACATCGTTTTAATAGAAACATCGTTTTAATAGAAAGTTTTAAGATAAAAAAGTAATTAGAATAAAATGAGAAATTTGGTTAAAGTAATAATTTTAATCAATGATAAGTTTTTTAATAAGTCTAATTAGGCCTTTTATGTTAAGTGCAATTCAGATAATACACAAACAAAGAGAAAAAGAATATCTCTTAAAAGTTAAAAATTCCAAGAACAGTGGAACTTTAAAAAAATGTAATTAAAATTTAGAATGTTCATGTGAAAGAGATTTTTTGTTTCCTAGTGTCTAGGTTTTCATTCTCTTGCTATGTTAAAATTACCCAAATATTTAAATGTAATAGTTGATATTTGTATAATTCAAAAAATCTGCTGTGATTCACTGTTGATCAGTAAAGTACTAAAAAAGTACTGCAAAGTGGGTCATCTCAATCAACATCTGAGGAAATTGCTAAGAGCTAGCAACATGGATGTTAACCCTATCTAGAAAGAAATTCAAGACCTAATAAAATCTGCAACTTTTAAAAGAACAATTTACCTTTTTAAGTCATATGATGGATTTTACTCTATTTTCACAGAATCTATTAAAATCATAATGTTTGCAATGTTTATTTTTAAGCTTGAAAATGTTCACACAGATTTTTCACCGATGTGAAAACACAGGCCTCTGATAATTCAGATGGGAGAAAAACGGGAATGATATGAGAATGTACAGTCTTTTTTTTTTAATGCAGCTATCAAAACAATAAAAGAAGAACATCTGATCATTATATTTGTTATAAATAAAGATATTGAAATCATGCAGCAGATATTTTTAGAGTTTAAAAAAATTATTCTTTAACTAGAATGACTTGATGTGTTAAGGGCAAACAATAAATCCAATAGTTAAATTTGATTTAATGTCTGTAAAAGTACTTAATGCACTACTTCGTGGGCAACTTTATGAGTTTTATTATATAAAAAAAGAGTTTATTCATAGACAGAGTCAAAGACAGCACATAGAACCTAGTTCTTAATGGTAGGGAAGAAGTGTTTATAGTAAACAACTATCAAATAAACAAAAATTAAGTGGGATTTTGTAGATTCATTGAGTCATAAGGATAGTACAACAGCTGGCAATCTGCTTTTTCAAACCAGAAAACTGGTTACTAATCACATAAATACAGCATGACAGAATATCAGATTAGAGGAATGGTCTTTTGGTGTCTACTTATTATTCATTTTATGTCATCTAGTCGGGAAATTAATATAAAAAGAAAATAAGTAAAGATACTAACTTTCTCCTCCAAGTGTAATTCTGTGTCCTGTGTTTACTGTTCACAAGTTATTTTAGTTCTATAAATGTAAAAAAATTTGAAATCATATTACTTGTGCTCCCTACAAAAAGTTAAGCAGTAATTACAAAACTGGGTTTGTTAACATAAATCAAATGTAATAAAATGCTCTTTCAAAATAATAAATGGTTTAGTATTACCAAATCTCCAGTTTGTCAGATATATGACAAGGCATCAAACAAAAAAAAAAATCCAATAATAAAATATGTAAATATTAACTCTAATAGAGGCTGCAAGCAACTACTATTAGAAATGGAATTTACTGGAAGAGAAAAAATGAAGTTTATAGACCAAGATAATAATTGATATATGACTTAAAAGATTGCAAATTATATGAATCTGGAAAACAAGATGAAAGAAGTGAATTCCAAAGAACTGATGTTTGTGGAAAAAAATTAGACAAATAAGAGTTTCTGAAGCATTTAGGAATAACCACAGTAAAAAGATGAAACTTAATTGAATGATGAGTAACATGAGAATGAATTTTAGTAGAAGGCATAAGAGACGCTAGCTCTTTAGAGTAGAGCTCGTTATAATATTTGTAGAAAAGAGAAAAAGAATCAACATTTTGACTATGTGATAATGGTTAGAGGTTGGCTGCAAGACCAGGTCCAACTATGTTTACAATGTGTTTTTGCACCTTGTCTAAAAGAGAAAGGACATCATTGAAAGATTCACCCCAGACGACAGTATTCCATACAAGAACAGATTTGAGGTTTATAGAAATAAATAATAAAATTCGGAGTAAAAAAGTGTCGAGTGCAATAAAGAAATACAACCTTAGTGAATGCTAATTTTGCAATGGGTTTGATATATGGTTTCCAAGAAAGATTGGAATTAAGAGTTAAATAACATAATTAAGTGATTATTTAATGTTAAAGCTTTCCATTATTTTTAACTGATCCAAATAACAAAATTGGTGAGTTTAAAAAAACACTTTCTTTAAATTTTATGTTATTCTATCTTAACAACAAAGCAAACAATTGTTTTTTTAAACACAATATTTACACTAAAAATGAGTTTCACTTCTACCCCTGAAGATATGGTTCATGAAAAAAAAATAAAACTGTCCTAAATACTTCATTGATTATTTATTACTTTTTAACTGATTTCTGATATTTTGAAATAGTCAGGAACTTTCAACCAGTGCAAAAATTTTACTTTTAAACAAAAAAAAAGTGGAATACACGGCTAACATACACAGCCGTACCAAGATCTAGTAAAAAATTGGATAATCTTAACATAAGTTTGCTTGTAATTACTTGTTGAAAGTTTGGGGTCTTTTACTTGATACATTCTAGCTATGAGATAAATGATTTCCTCTACTTTTGTGTCACTCCTACTCATCATTTCTTTCAAATATCAATATTAATTTTATATGGCCGTGATTCAGCAAAAGTATGTATTACAGTAATTTTAGGAAATGAGATTGATAAATTTCTTTAAAGAAATTATGCTTCAACATTTTAAAATAAAGTGCTACATCTTTGCTGTATGTTAAATATTATGTTTTTTATAAAAATAAGTTGTAACAACTTTATTTTTATAAAAAATAACTGTATAAATAATAATAAATAACTTTAAATAAATTGTTTTTTATAAAAATGATTGTAGAATCTTTTAATTCTTTTTTTATTTCTCAATTAAACATTTTATTTACGTATATTTAATTGAAGATTTTAAAAGTTCATTTTTTAGTCTTTAGCAATATAAAATTTGATATAAAATATTTTTTATAACATAATATATTTTTGACTACAAGTTAATGTTTTTGTTGTCTTATTATCTGCTATTAAATGGTATAAAATAGCTTTAGCTTTATTAACAAAAAGGAAATTAATATTACAAATTAAAAAAATAATGCAGAAATAATAAGTTTGACTTTTACTGGTAGTACCTTGCTTAACATTTCTCCACACGGCAGCCATGTTTTTCATTTATATTTCAAAGTTATAGGATTAAGTAAGGGTTGACCTTATCACCAGGTCTTTTGAAAGTAAATACAGTTTTTGAAAAAATATTATGTTGTTTAGAACTAGATTTATTAGCAGATTGTATAACATACTTGATTGTGTAATTACAATTATTTAAAAAAATGTTAAGAATGATTATTTTATGTTTTATAAGTTAATTTTCATAATTAATCTTTGATAGTAATAAACATAACTAATAACTATGGTTATATAGTTAATAATTATAATTAACTTTAAAAACTTTATTAGAAGTATTATATTCAAATTTACATAACTATCATTTAGATTCTTTAAATGATGATGATGATGATGATGATGATGATGATAATGATGATGATGATGATGATTTAAATTAACTTTTTTAGATATATCTGAGATATGCACAGCACTCAAAAGTTTTTATCTAACAAATTATGGGATAATTAATGAAGTTCAACCACCATTAAAATCACCCTCAAATGTTGATCTAATGAATAAATTTGTTGATCTATGTATCATTGATGCTGTTAATACTGAAATAGATGCTGTTTATAGTGTTGAACGAAAGAAATTTCTTGAAAAGCAATTGCGTTATACACCAATTCCATATAGTGAAATTTTTATGAAAGAAAAATCTGTAACATTAATATCTGAAATAGCTGGTATTGGGAAAACATGGTTGCTTAGAAAATGTTTGCTTGATTGGTCAAATGATTTAATTTGGAAAAATGTTAAACTTGTGTTTTATTTTGAATGTAGGAGGCTTAATCAATATCAAAATATTTCAAATATTAATGAATTATTAAATGTTTTCTACAAAGATATTATCAATGATTTTAGTATTAGTAATCATACTGTACTGTTTGTAATTGATGGACTAGATGAGTTTAAATATTTAAATGAATTAATAAATCACAATTCAAGTTGTAATTATCCAATCGTTAATGCTTTAACAGAAATTAAAAATTACAAATATGTAGTTGCTGGTAGAGTTTATGCAATTGATCAATACCAAAGTATATCTACAGAGCATAATGATAAATTAACTATTCAAATAATGGGATTTAAATGAAAATGGAATAAATAATTACATAGAAAACAATGTTTTAGAGGGAAAAAAAGATGTTGTGAAAGCAACTTACAGGAATCTCCAATTGCAAAATCCATGTCGTCTGTTCCATTTTATTTATCTTCCATGTGTAAGGTTATAAGTGACTCAAAAAATGTAGATAAAAATTCTTTTTTAACAATGACTTATTTGTATGCAAATATTTTTTTATACTTTTTACAAAAGCACATCATCAAAAACAATGAATTGATTTATAAGATAATGGAAAACGATTTCAATAAGAAATATGTTTTGAATATTTGTAAAATTGCATATCAATTGTTTGTTGAAAATAAAGTAATTTTTTCCAAAGAAGATATTCAAATCGTTGACTTTGATAAAAATGAAGAAATTTTTTTTGGATTTATAGAAAGAATTGAAACGAATCTAGGGTACTATTATCAATTTGCACACCTAACGATAATGGAGTTTTGTGCATCTGTATATGCATATAATTGTTTAAGTAGTGACGAGATTATGGCTGATAAAAGACTAGAGAGTTGTTTATCAATGATTTGTGGATTAACCAATAAAAGTCAAAATAGTGTATTAAAGTTTCTTGTTAACTTGAATGCTTCAAAAAAACCTACCGAAAAATCTTTATTATTTTTTTCTATTTTAG